GGGCGGCGCGGGCCCCCCCAGCCGCAGAGCCGGCACAGCCCTGCGCCGCCGGGTAGCAGAGGTGAGCTGAGCTCCGTTTCGGCTCCCCTCCCTCGCCGGTGCCCTCCCTGCTTCCCACCTGTTCCCTCCACCAGCCCCGACCCAGAGCAGGTTTCAGCCCCTGCCCCATTCACCGCAGCAGCTTGAGAGCAGCTGGCTGCACTGATTCACTCTTTAAAAAGGCTCCGGCTAACAAAAAAAAAAAAAAAGCAAGCTGCACAAAAATATCAGGACGGCCTCCTGCCCCGTCTCCTCCCTGCCGGGACAAAGCCTGGTCGCAGCCTCCCACCCGCCGTGGCACCGGCACCTCTTCCAATTCCCGGCGCTGCTGTCAGGGGACTGTAACTAACCCCGCGCCCGGCTGCGGCATTAGCGCTCGGGCAGAAGAAAAGATCAAAAGGGGCCCCTGGCAGGAGAAAGGCTCCCGATGGCTTCACTGCAGCAGGAGCGACCTGGAAACGGGGAGCCCGACGGGGTGCCCCTTCCCCATTTGAAGGGCAGTGGCGGGGCAGGCAGATGCCCCCCGCCATCCCGACGTCCCCAGCAAAGCCGCTGTGCCAGCGTCCTGAAACGCTTTGTGCCCCCGGCCCCCTTCCCGCCCAAGCCTGGGCACCTGCAACCAGACACCGGCGGAGCTTAGCAGATGCAGAGCCCGGCTTCTCCCTCTGCCCCATCCCACCTCGTCAACCGATCCCACCAACACCTGCCCGCGTGGGGAACAGACGCTCCCTTTTGTGCTGCTTTTCAAAGGCTCCCGAGCTCGCCCCGCTCCGCGCAGGCAGCGCTGGGGGCCAGGAGCCGACTGCAGCCACAGAACCGACCAAGGGTGCTGCATTTAGAGATGCTCACTCGTTGCTAGGCACTCCTCAAACCAAGGTCAGCATTGCTATGAACGGCCTGATTTCCTCTCCCTAAGAAGAACGAGCAGCAGAAAGAGGAAGGGTTTCCACCAGATCCATCAGCAAAACCGCTTTGCCGTTCCCCCCGAACACTCACCACCTCCGTGCCAGTGATGCTGGCCAGCAGCTCGGTGATCGCCTCGCCGGTGAAATCATTCACGGAGACCGTCAGGCCGTGGATCGCCGCTCCAATACTGCCGGTCGCAATCATGGAGGGGGGGTACATGGCGAAAGTGTAGTCTGGAGCCAGGACAGGGACACAAGGGGCAAAAGGAAGCAGCCGTTAGCAAGGATGCGCATGGAAAGTTCTTGGGACTGCAGTTTCCCTGGAGGACTAGAGAGGGCCAGGCAGAGGGGTCTCTCCGGCTTAGTGGGGAGAAAGGGGGGTGAAGTGACAGGGAACAGGCTGAGCATCAGAGCAGCAAGCTTCGTGAAGCTATTCCTCTGGGCCTGTCTCACCAAAAGAAGCTCTGAAGATGAGGTTGCTCTAGTGACTTAGAGCGAGGCCGATGAAAGCTCAGATTCAACCTGGCCTTACCCTGGACGCCCTCCCGCAGTCGCAGCCTGCGCAGCGAGAGGCCGTTTACTCTCTCCTGGCATCTTCCAGGCACCCACTAAGAGCCGCCCGGACCATTATCCCACTTTGTCAGGGATAGAAAACATGCCACAGAGCAGCCAAAGGCTCCGATTTGAATGAAGGCAGGCGTTCAGCTCCCCAGAAAGGCAGGGCGTTGGAGACCAGCCCCAGGTTGCCCAGCAAGCCTGACCCAAGCCCAGGCTACCCCGCTTGCAGTGGCCAGCCCACCCTCCCCACCCTCCCGTCGGGTGGCTCCAGCGGGAGCGGGCACCCACCCGTGGCACACAGGGCGATGAAGGTCTGTGCGTGTTTCTTCACCAGCTCCATCTTGTCCTCAGGCAGCGGGAGGTGATGGAGGATGTGAGCCAAGAAATCATTCGCTATCACTGAGACCAGGTCCCACTTCAGCTGCTCCAGGACTAGAACTTCCCAATCCTGCAGAGTCAGACAGACAGACAGACAGCACGTTATTCAGCAGGGCCAGGCCGGGCGGGAACACTCACCAGATTCAAGGGCAGATAAGGCCAGTGCCTGGGGAAGGGCCAGTAAAACAGTACAATCCATGAGACGGGGAAGACAAGAGGGAACGTCCCTGCTCTGCGACTATGGCACAAACCCAGCCTTGAGCTGTTGCAAAGCCTGGAGTAAAGATCAGAAGCAGCAGCATAAATCTGGTTTCTTCTTTCCAAGGTGCAGTCGGATTAGCCTTCGACACTCCTCTGCTTTGCAAGGTTGCTGCAACAGCCCACATAGGAAAACCAGAGCAAGGAGCAGTAGGTGCACCATTCCCATATTCCTTCTCCATTCCCTATAGGAGAGGCTGATGTCCAGGCTCCCAGGAGCAGTCCAGCCGGGGGCTAACACCATCACAGCAAAGGGAACACAGCAGCTCACCTCTCTGTGTGCCCCTCGGAGCTGGCCAGTGCACCGACTCGTGGCTCCTTGGCCACTGAGCCGCCGGCGGCAATAGCTGCTCTGCAGCCAGCCAAAGCACGGGAAGGTGGGGGGAACACGGCTGAGCTTTCCAGACAGCCCAAGCTCCTGCATGAGATCTTCAATCCCTACGGAGCCCAGGGGCTGTCACTGGGTGCTGAGGTCTTCAGCCCAACAAACACCGGGCACGCAGCCCCACGGAGGAGGTCCCAGCCTGGGCAGCAGCACGTTGGCAGAACCTCCCCTACTCATCATGCCTCTTCTCTGCCAAGAGAGCCTCCAGCCGCGCTCAACAGAGCATCGCCAGCAGCTTCTCGGGGGAAGAGACACTGAACAGCCATGCTAACGCCCTGCTCTCCCACTGACATACCCGCTACGGCTCACCCGTGCTTCCCAGGCACACGCCAGGTGCCTGCTGGTGTCTCCGTCCCACGTTGTGGTGCTCTCTCTAAGGATCTAACAGAGATTTCCGCAATATCTGTGTAATCTGCACGCTGGGGAGCAGATGGCGGGAAGGCCGGGTGCCCCCCGCGGATTTCAGCTGGAGCCTGGGCTGCTCCTCTCATCTGCTCAGCCTCTCGCAGGCTCTTCCAGCTCTGGGCATTAGTCCTAACGCCAACAAGAAAACCAAAGTGCAGAGCAGCCACGAGCGAGCACTTGGCAGCGTCACCACCCAGCAAGTCCTGCAGCGGTTCGGTACGAAAGCACTCGTCCGGCAAGGTATAAGCAAGGCGAGCCCCACGATTAGAGCCTTAGCACAGAATTCGGGACCCCTGCATTCAGTTCCTTGCTCTGCCATCACTGTCAAGGTCTACGTGACTTCGCTAGAGTAGCGGCTGAATCAAAGTCAGAGGCCACACACGTACTGGTCTCACCGGGCTTTGATGTTACGTCTGGGTATGCCTATGCCACCGACACAGCAGCCTCGGGAGAGGCGAGCGCGGCGTCTTCCTAGGATCAGGAATGTCACGGGCAGCCCACACCCAGCCGCCCGAGCTTCTCTGCCGGTCCCAATTCCCCCACGTCCCGAGCCACAGTGAAGATTTCTGGCCTCCAGTTTCTTTCATCCTCCAGATCAGCAGCAAATCTGGTTTTGGCAACAGGGTCCAGGTACGCCAGAAGGGCCACGGAAGATGCCCCCTTGTCCCTGCTCCCTGCTGGTGGAGGGGGGTGACGGTGGCCCTGAAGATGCGCTGGGAAAGGAAAACACCCTGCAGGAGCTGAAGCTCCAGGTTTGGAAGGACGGAGCTGAACTGGGATTTGTATCAGATATCTCCATTTCAGGGCCTAGTCCTACCCAGCAGAATATCTATTCTTTTTCCCAGTAGTCTAGGATTACAAGGTCAGTGCTGCCCACAGACGTGCCAAAGGGCTGCCAGAACAGATGGATTTGAAGAAGTGAGATTTTTCATAAGGGCAGATCTTCATTTTCTCTTTTTTTTTTTTTTTAAACCCGCTCTTTCCCCTTACACAACAATACCAGTTTGGAGTTGCTTAAATGAGCAGCATTGCTCAACCTGCTCCAAATCCCCCATGAGGCCAAACGCGCCGTTTGCCATTTCACAGCCTGCACTTTTCCAACCAGAAAGCGGAGCTTTGCTAGCGCACGCTCGCTAGTCTCCCATACGGATGGCCAGCCTGCTAGCCTTCCTATATTTTTAAGCCCAACCCATGGGATAAAAGCAAGAGGAAACTTAGCAATGAGCTCCAGAGCCTGCAATCAGCCCAGGTCACCGAAGGTGCCTGGTTCAGCTGGGGGATTGGAACAGAGGGGAGAGATCAGGCTTGGGTAAAAGAAGAAAAAACGGGTAGTGCTGGCCACGGGTTAAACTGCAGGAACACAGCAAGGTGACACAAGGGAAGAGCCGCTGGAGATGGGGAACTCTGTGCCTTGTCCCTACCTGTCACTCGTCTGGAACCCACCAAGGGCAGCAGGCTGGGAACGCCGGCTGCTTGCTCGTGCAGGAGCCCACTTTCTTGGGAAGGGGCGCAGGCCAGTGCCGACACCTTCGGCATCACTGCCCCGAGGGCGAGAGGCCGAGGCAGCTCCGGCCTGGCCTCCCACCGAGCTGGGAGCACGGCCCTTTTGCAGACCCAGGGACAAAGTCAAAAGCAGGACCCGGAGATCGCTGCTTGTGAAGCAAACCCAAAAGGGGTCACTACACCTGAGAGGGGACCTCCTGAGCACAGAGGGGACACCAGCCCAGCATCACCAGTGGCACATGATGTCCCCACTGGTGTGGCAGAGCGCTTGTCCCTGCTGGGACACGTTTTGTCCTAAAAAGATCCAGGGCGCAAGTCAGCTCAGCTGTCAGACCTCACCTGGGACAAGCTGGCTCCTGCCACACCGGGACTGATCCGGGACAACAGCCTGTCGGTTTGCAATGCACAAAATCAGCTCTTTTCCAGCTACTACAGAGCTTCATCCTCTTCTTAAAACCCTCGTTGTTACAAAAGGCCTGATCCCGAGACCCAGCCGGCACTCGAGATGCCAGCTGAAGGCGACAGGCGCCAAGGACTGTCACCAGCTCACAGGATTTAGCTCAGGGCAGCCTCTCTCCTGCCAAACCACCCTGCTCCTCGCTTCTCTCCTGCTCACCCTGGGGACTTCCCGCTCTCAGAGCGGCATGTCAGAATCTCTGAATCACTTTATCTGTGGAAGAAGCAGAACAAAAGGCTGCAAGAGATAGGCAAGCAGGTTTGCGACAACAGCACCACTCAGTATAGCAAACATCCTTTTCCTGGCATTTTGTTTTGCACCTAGTTGAATCAGTCTCTGCCTGGCTAATGAAAGAGAGGAAGAAAGTGGAAAATGTTCCTTTGTTTCTCCAGCCTGTGGAGCCTACCCTCCTCTTGGAAGGGCTGCAAGCTGCCAGCGCTGCCCACCGAGCATCCCGTTGCTGGGGATCGGGTCCCCCTTCTGCAAGGTCCCCCAGGGCAGAGGTCCCCATGCCTGGCCAGCGTCTCTAGGGGTGGGAAGTGCACAGGAGCTGCGCTTCCCCTCTGCAAGCTTGCTCCCTTCATCTCTCCTGGCTGCATCCCACAAGAAGGGGGGGGGGGGGGGGGGGGGGGAAGGAAGGAAAGCAGCTCTGGTTTCCCATTGCCCCCCCGACCAGGTGATGGCAGAGCACAGTCCTGTTGCAGTGAAACAGCCTCCAGCCCCTGGCTGCCGCCTCTGCGCCCTCTCACTGAGACAGACCCGACTCACAAGCAGAGACTGTTTTGCTCAATTTACAGCTCTGCAAACACAGACTGGGATGTGACAGTCACACCAGCTTCTCCCCTTTTCATGCAGTGACAGTCGCTCTGTACATCAAGCTCTACCCTCAGCACCACCCACACACCCGCTGTGCCTACAAGGGGTCTGCGGAAACCTCTCTGGCCAGGCTGCACAGGGAGCAGAGCCCAGCTCCTCTCTGCAGCAGCCCTGTCTGCAGGAGAAAAGGAAGTTGCGCTCGATTTTGTCACTCAAGTTGATAAGGTACCATTTTACATTGTCACAGAGCTGATGAGACACCAGCGAAGCGGGAGCGGGCTGCGCTCCGTTGTGCTCACGAGCTGACTCAAAAAGAGGGTGGAAAGAGCTGCTGATGTTGCTGTTGGCCACCCACCCTACCCAGCAGCTGAGACACCGCTACAGAAATGAGCGGCCATGAAAGTCCATTTGCAAATAGGAAATCTGGGGCAAATGTTTGTTTCCATCCCCCAACCAGAGCGCACGAGTGGATGTCAAGGGTAAAGGTGCCAGCTTCAGAAGCAGGAACGGCCCCATCTATCCGACCCATGCAACAAGCAGAAGGTAAAACAGTTAAAACGCAAGCATGTCTTCTGGAAAGTCAATGCTCTGTCACAAGTGAACATCGCTCTACTCAGCTGTTCTCTCTCTTATTTTCACTCCTCATGGCCTGCTGTCACTGCTGCTCCCTTCATTATCGACCGACCTATGGCTTGATCCTGCTTACGCTCTTTGCTAGGAAATACCTGGCAGTGGGCAAAACTGACCTTAGGTCAGAGATTGCAGAGGCAAGCCAATGGATTAGGAGGAAACCAGGCAGATGAAGGCGACCTACGACTGCTCTCCCCAACCTTCAAGCAGCTGAATACCCTGAAGGTATTCACCCTAAAGGCCAGAAAAGCCTTTATTAAAAAAAAAAAAAAAAAAAAAAAAAAAAAGAAAGGTAGGTTAGATAACGCCCTTGACGGAAATCCAACTTCCTCCAAATGGACAAGTCCCTTGTTGCATCATTTCCTTCTCTCTAGAATAACTTCATCACGATTTTGTTTCCAATGTGTCCTTTCTAAACCACTGAGCTGGTGCCAAGCATCCCGGCAAGAGAAGGAAGCAAACCTATTGGGAAAGGGAGCCGGCTTCCTCCAAAAGGCCGGGGAGGACACGCTGGAAGCTGAAATGGCACCGATCCACGAGAAGAGGCCAGGATGCAGCATTGTCCAAACCTTGATGGAGAAGCTCCCCTTCCCCTCCCCACCCTCTTCCACTGCAAGATTGTGAAAGAGAAGCAACATTACCACGATTAGCACAGAGGAGGAAAACAGCAGCTCGCCCTGGTTTTGTAATCAGGGTATTAACTCTTGTCAGGTCCCAAGGCAATGACAAATCCTTCACGTATTTTCAGGTGTTACCTCCTGTCCCCTTTACAGCGGAGAGCAATGGGAGACTGGAGCAGGACCTGCTCCAAACAGGGTTAAACGCTGACCGAAAGCAAGCCTTGTGGCGGGCAGGGAAAGGTGACCACCAGACCACGGGCTACAGAGCATCTCCTGCCCAAGCATCTGCAAATGCCTCAGCACCTCTCCTTAAGGGCTGTGGCTGCTTTGTGACGCCTTCTGCTCAGCCCTTTGGCTAGCGCTGATTACCAGGAATAAACCCCTGCACTGCTGAGGTTTAGGTGGGGTGAGAGGGGGGTAAGAGGGAAGGGATCCTATTTGCCTGAAAAAGCTATCTTTGGCTATCCCAGGAAAGGACTTTTGACCCCCAAAATGAAGCCATTCTTGTCCACCTCAACTGCATATTGATTCCGGAGCACAACGATGAGGGAGATCCGTGCCAACCATCCGGCTGTGCCTCCTGTAGCGCTGAGAGCAACCCAGGACCCTGGTGGGAAAAACGTACCGGGAAGAACCCCAGTACCGAGCCCTGCACAATCAGAAGTGAGCAACAGGCGGCAGACAGCGCTTTCCTCCTCCATCTCCACCCCAGTGCTGCCAGGAGGAGGGAGAAGGGAAGACGAACATTGTGGCACTGCTTAGCCCCATCTTCCTGCTGACAAACATCTGGAGGGAAGAAATAAAAAAGACTCTGAATGAGGAGGCATTAGCATTTGAGCGCGAGAGGGAAGGAAAGCCTCCAGGGATGTTGCACATGCTCTGCCCGCGACCCACCTGCACATCTCCTAACTGTTCTCCTTTGGAAGGAGCCTGCTACAAACACAGCTCAAGATTCAACTGAAAAAAGCAAATCCTCACCAAGGATAAATCACCAAATAAATCAGAATGAAATACAGCTGGGATCCATGGGAGATATGCACAAGGTGCCCACCCAGACCAACTCCTGGCCAAGGTCCACGCTGCAGAAATCGCTAGAATTTGCTGGGACAATCTCCCCTACTCTGCAGGGGTGATGACAGGACCCCCTGTAAAGTCGATCAGAGAGGGAGACAGAGGTGAAGCACGGCAGTAAGTTCACCTTCCTGCAGCCCATGTTCCTGTTGGACAGGGAGCTCATCCATCACTCCGAAAGGACAAAATCCCACACTGGCCCACAACATGCATTCTGATCAGCTTCGTGCTCCTGAGGGCATGGAGAGCACTGTCCGTGCTTTGACGCCTGCTCGCCTACAAGACGACTGCTGGGCACCTTCTGCTCGGCTTGTTGGCTCTGCAACAAACAGAGGCAACTTCTGCTGGCCCAGCAGAAAAGTGAATGCAAACCAACTCCCGTTCCCCCTGCCTTTTTTTCCAGCTAAACGTTAACCCCCTCATTATCACAGGGCCAACAGGAACCCTCCCGTTACAGGCTGGGATTAGCTTCACGTGATGGATCCCGGTCCTGGGAAGATACCCATGCAGAATCCAGCACTGGATGAGAAGCTCCGCTCAGGGATGAAGCTTTACTGACAAAGCAGGGGAAAGCTTTCGCACACAGAGATTTTGTCAGCCCCCCGCAGCAGGATGCCGCAGCACGACCACAGCTCAGCATCCAGAGAAGCAACGAGCACTTGTTTCCTCTGTGCATCCCCATCCCTCTCCACTATTCGTGGTGATGATCCACACACTTTTTTCCATAAGTGCTACTTAAGGCAACAACCACCCACAAGTGACTACCGGGAGAGAGGTATGGAGGTGAGGGGATTTTCCCCAGCCTTCACTGGCACTTGGAAAAACCACGTTCATACTAGAGTTCCCCAGTTACCAGCACTGCCTTCCGATTCACACCTGAAAGTTTTGTGGGTTCACTCCCCACCCTGGGGATAAATCACACTCAGATCATCTCACCCACCCCAGCCCAAAAATATAGATATTTAATAAGGCGATGACTAACCCTGAGAAATTCTCGTAGGCAAACCGTCTCCAGGGATGTTGGTTACTCGAAGCGAGGTGGCCGTTTCCTCCCGAGCGCGCTGATCTACCAGCACGGAAGGCCCCCAAGAAAAGGGGTTCTCCAATTTCCTCCCCCATTGGCAAAGCTGAACACAGAGGTTTGGATCTTTGCTTTGAACTTTTATCAGACATGAAAATGCTTTGCCTTTCAAAGCCTCCACAGCTTCTGCCTGAGCGGACGAGGGGAGAGGCAAAGCAGCCCTGCTTTAACTCAAGGGCGCGGAGCAGGACCTGGGCAGCAGCACGGTCCCACTCATTTCCATCACCTCGGCGGCACAACCCGGCCTGGATCCCAGGTCAGAAAAAGCTCCCACCCATTTTGCTGGTTAACTCTCCACTTAAAGCTTCATTTTTCCTCCTGGTGTGGAAACGCTTCTCCCATGTCATGCCCCTTTGCAGCCGGGGCAAGTCAGAGCCACATGCCCCAGCGGGCTCGCGCCCTGCCGGCTGCGCAGACAGGAGCCTTTGTTCTTCAGAGCCGTCACTCGAGAGCGACCCAGCGCCTGGCAGCGAGCTGAGCGTGGCAGCTCCGCGCTGGCAACGCGCGCTTAAGGCATGAAGAACTTTATAACCTGGAGGTGAGAATTCTGCTTCCCACAACAGGGAGGATGGAAAGGACTCCGCCAACAGACATCGCACCCACCGGGGCAAGGAGGAGAGAAGGTTGGCTGGGGAATGCAGAGGCAGGTGAAGAAACGGGAGAAAGAGAACAGGAGGAGGCACGGAGGCAGGTATGCTGCCAAGCAGCAGGACGCAGGAGAGAAGAGAGCTGGGGAGGAAGCGGAGGGCTCTGAGATAGGGGTGGTTACCAGGAGCTGCTGAGGCGTGATGGAGTTGTCTGTGTAAATGCAGAGTTTCTCCACGGTCAGGGGCATGGTTTCTCGCAGCTTGGAAGCCAGGAGCATGCAGACCGCCCCCAGAAGCTGCAAGTGATTTTTCCGCATGGAGACCGACGACAGGTAGCGATCCACGTAATTCATGGCCAAGGGGAAGACCTCTTCTTCGCACTTCTGCTCCTCGCACACCTGACAAAACCCAATTACAAAAATAAAAAAAATAAAATAAAAGGAAGTTTTAATCAGCACAGGACTCCCCAGATCCTGCCTGCACCACAGCTTCAAAGCTTCTGGTCATGATGGTGTTTCACACTTATCTCCAGGGCTTTGAAGGCACCTTGGTGCTAAGGAGTAAAATAGCTGCAGGCGTTAAGCCTACGACTGCGGTGGGATTACACCAGCAACAAGTCTGACCGACGCCTTAAGGCTTCATCTTCCTGTTGAAAGCTGCAGAACTTTTCCACCTACGTGTAAGTTAAGACCAGAATTGCTTTATCGGGGCCCTTTTTGGGGACGTCTCCAGCCAGCTGTACAGCAAAGCTGCCGTTTTCTGCTCTGTGGGGACTGGGGACCTCTGGAGAAAACGAGCAGTTCCAGCATATCTCCAGCTGGAGACCTACTAGTGCAGGACCCACAGCCACTGCTGGCAATTCCACCTGCAGTGGTCCAGGGACACGAGAAGAATCGATGGCAGAGCCCAAATCAATGGTTGAGTCCGACAGCCTTCTTCCTCCTTCAGCCACAAACAGAATCCAGGAGCTCTGAATTTCAGTCCTCTCCTCTTATCTCTCAACCAGTATCAAAACACTGGTCATACTTCCTTCTTTCAACACAAGCATAAAAATATTGAGGTTTCTCCTCATACAGCAGCAAACACCACCGTTCTCCTTCCAGCAGCGACTGCCTCCCCCTGCACAGGCGGCGGCGGGGACACCGGCGGGCACGGTCACGCAACTGCCAAGTGTCATCCGCTTCTTGACCGCCTTTAGGGCTTCATGGGAACAGGCTCCAAAGCAGCATTTATCTAACTGTCCTTCTCAGAAAGCGAATTGCAGAAACAGAACAATAATAGCAGGGAAAAAAAACCCAAAAAAACAGCTTTAAAAAGCAAGATGTTCATTATTTCTTTTGACAGAAGCAGGCAGCGTCTTGCAACAGCGGCCGGGTGGAGAGCAGGCAGGCTCCATCCCCACATCATTTGTCCTTTGCAGAATCTGTTCTTTCTCTAGTGAGACCGTTCACTCTGATCATCTCACGAAGAGGCCCATGAGATTTCCCCCCCTGAACTGCATCCCGCAGAGGGCCGCGTTCATTTTTAACTTAGGGAAGTAAATGGTAGTGATATTATTTTCCCCCTTTAACCAGGCATTTTCAGCCCCATTCAGGAAACGCAAGCCTCCGGCCTGCCGGGTGCAGGGCTGAGCGCTCTGCCCGGGAGCTTTGGGGAGCGGGGTGCCAACGCGGGGTCCGGCGGCCGCGCACCCCCCGGGCGGGGGGAGCACAGGCTGCGGCTTCGGGGGGGGGT